AAAAGCCGGGGGTAGAGAAGCTAGAAGATTTCAGGCCTATTAGCTGTTGTACAATAGTACACAAGGTCATATAAAAAAATACTTGCACAGAGATTGAAGCCACTGCTGAGGGAATGTATCTCCGAAACCAGACGGCGTTTCAATCTGGAAGACTCATGTTGGAAAATGTTCTCTTGGCATCGGAGCTTATAAAAGACTATGGGAAAGCCAGAGAAAGAATGTCATGATTAAGCTTGACATTAGAAAAGCCTTCGACTCAATCAAAGGGGACTTCCTCATCAAGGTATTAAAGGCAATGAACTTGCCGGAAACCTATATACGATGGATTGGAGAGTGCGTCACGACAACTTCATTCTCGGTCAATGTCAATGGCGAGCTTACTGGACATTTCAAGGGGAAAAGAGGACTCCGAGAAGGGGACTCTCTCTCCCCATACCTCTTCATTATTTCCATGGAGGTTCTTTCGAAGAAGTTGGATAAGGAGGCGATGCTGGGAAACATCAGGTTACATTCTAAGTATTCCGACCCATTACTAACGCACTTGATTTTTGCAGACGATTTGATGATCTTTAGTGAGGCATCGACCACATCTCTGGACTCTATTAACGTCTGTCTCAGTTGGTTCGGACGAGGTCAAGACTGATCATAAATGCCGGTAAATCATAGATATACTTTGGGGGTGTAGCAGAACAGGAAAGGAGGATCTGACAGCTGCTCTAGGCGTGCTACAGGGCAACTTCCCAATGTTGTATCTAGGGCTATCGGTGTGCCCTCAAAGGCTGAAACCCGCAGACTATGAACCACTGCTTGAGAAGATTAGGAGGACAATTACGGCTTGGACAACGCATCTTCTATCCTATGCCGGAAAAGTGTAACTGATCTCTGCAGTCATATATAACATGGTGAATAGTTAAACTTTCTTACTTCCGAAATCTGTGTTAAAATCCATTGACAGCCTCTGTTCCGCTTTTCTATGGAAAAATAGAGCATCATGTACGGTGAGGGCAAAAATATCGTGGGCAAATATTTGCGAAGGAGGTCTAGGCATAAGGAGGTCTAGGCATAAGATTATTGGAGGACCAGAATATGGTATTTAGGATGAAGATGATATGGGCTTTCTTCAAGGCTCGAGCTCGTTGTGGGTTGCTTGGATGAAGGGACACGTACTGAAACGAAGAGCTTATTGGACAACGAAACCATCGACAACAATATCATGGAACATGAGAAGGCTGATCAAGTTGAAAGATAAGGTGCGAGGATTTGTTCACAGTAAATTGGGTAATGGAAAATCAACGTACCTCTGACTGGATCATTGGACTAAGTTGGGATCGCTCATCGAGTACATAGGTGACCAAGGTCCGAAGCTGTTACGCCTTCTTATCTAGGCGAAGGTTATAGACGCGACACAAGACGGTAGATGGAATATGTCGGGAGCTAGAACAGACTCAGAACCTCCATGTTGAGCTAATGAGAATCTCAGCTCCAACTAGTGTCGAAAATGTTGATAGTATGTATGGAAACAAAATGCAAATTCGTTTGGGCCTGACTTTTGCAGCTTGAAGACATAGAAACTGATTCAGTATTCATCTCCTCAAGTGGATTGGTGGACCCTTGTCCAGTTCAAACAAGCAATCCTGCCATACTCGTTCATGCAATGGGTTGTAGTACAGGGTCAGCTGCCTACAAAGGTCAGATTACGGTGATGGAACATGCTTCAAGTCAACATCTGTGTATTGTGCAACCTAGAAGAGGAATCTCACAGTCATCTCTTCTACGGTTGTTGTTATAGCTCAGATGTATGGCTAACACTAGCGGAAAAAATCTGGTCTAATCCTCCTGGGGATCTCTCATTCTGTCTGCTTGGTTAAACCGCATTCTTGTAGCGGATAATGCTTGGCGAATCATGCTACTCAAGGTACTTATCCAACACTATAAATATGAAATATGGAAGGAAACGAAATGCCCGAATCTTCCAGAATTCTTCATCGTCTGTCTAGCAACTCCATCGACGGCTCGACTGCTCGATCCGGAGTACACTTCTGTCACTACAACAAGTACGCAATTGCAACAGCAACGACCTACTCCAGAGATGGTACTCTCTCTCTGTTACCTGAGAATTGTAACAATACAATTTGATTGCGTATGTTTGTATTCCCTTGTAAGGGCTTTCTAGCGTAAGCTTGACTTGTGTATCGAGGATTCTGAACTATGTACCACCATTTTTTAGAAATACACCCAAAATTTTATTTAAAAAAACTTTCTACTGTGTACATAAATTTTGTATTCGCAACGAAGCCCGGTTCATCAATAAGCAAAATGCTCCAAAACATTATTCGACAAAAAGATCATGTTTTTTAGAATATTTTGATCATCCATTTTATTAAAAATAACAAGGTGATGCATAATCTAAGATTAGGTGGTTCAACCGGTAAGGAAGGGAGTAAATCTCCTTCCCAATTCAGGTTCGAGTCCTTATTTGGTGAGATGCATTCACATGGGCTTCCCCACTTCTTTGGGATATGTAATCGGGTCAAACTCCCTCTGAGCTTTTAGATTATCAAAAAAAAAAAATACAACATCTGAACATGTTCGAGAGATTTCGCACACGGCCGAGAAACTGCGTCCGTACAGTCCGAGAAACTGCGCACAGGTCCGAGAAATTTCCGAACAAGTCCGAGAAATCTCCGAACAAGTCCGAGAAAAATCTGAACATGTCCGAGAAATCTCCGAATGGTCGGTTGAAGAACCATCACCCATCACCCATCACCCATCTCCCATCTCATATCTCCTATCACCTCTATCACCCATCACCCATCTCCCATCTCCCCTCCTATCTCCTATCTCCTATCACCTCTATCACCCATCACCCATCTCCCATCTCCCATCTCACCTCTATCACCCATCACCCATCTCCCCATCTCCCATCTCTATCTCCCATCTCCCATCTCGCGACCATACTACCCCCGGAACCCAAAAACTTTGATTTCTCATACGGTGCCAGCGGAGTCCTAAAAGCAACATCCGCTGATCCCTGGTCGGCATCGTTTATGGTTGAGACTAGGACGGTATCTGATCGTCTTCGAGCCCCCAACTTTCGTTCTTGATTAATGAAAACATCTTTGGCAAATGCTTTCGCAGTTGTTCGTCTTTCATAAATCCAAGAATTTCACCTCTGACTATGAAATACGAATGGCCCCATAATTAAAATATATATAAAATAAAAAAAACTAATAAACATATATCGTCTAAAAAATATTTACATTTTATAACTAAATTCTAAGTTTTTTATTTTTTTGAAATCTATTAATAATAATTTTATTTGAAAATTTTAAAATATATCTTTTTCGATTTAATCTATCCACATAACTGAATATATCTGAATAAAATTTAGTTAATTTTATTAAATTTGATATGTTAAACTCAGGAAATGAGTCAATATGATTCAAAACTATCGTATAAATAAATCAAATGAATTTACCTCTTCAAATCGATTGTTAAATTCTTGAAACTGAAAAATTCATAATAGTATGCAAATCGATCATTTATATTACATTTTGTCCAATCACTATATTGGTCAAACTATACTGGATTAAATAGTTTAAATCTATCTTCTTTGGAAAGTTATGACCACACGATCGATGAATTCATCTAATCAAATATTTACATCTTATCTCGTTTTTATTAGGATAATATTCTAATATTGTTTTCTATCAATACGATCTTTAAACAAATAATCTAAATCATTTTGTTTAGATATTAAAAGGTTAATTTAAAATTTTGATACATTATCGATTGAATTTTACCACTATGTTGAGATATCAATGCAAAATCTCTTTTGAATAATTTATCCAATAATTTTTCTATCAAATCAAATACAAAATTAAATAAATATATAGAATAACAAATTAATAAATATGATCAAAATATAGAAAAGAAATAAATAAAAAGAATAATTTTTTAAAATTAAAATCACAATACTTATATCATTTTAATTCTATTATTTGTTGATTTTTGAGTTTTTAATGTTTTTTTAGAGAATTATATGTATATATAAAAAAGATGATAAAGTAAAGAAAATATATACGGGTAACATAATCCTAGATTTTAGGGAAGAAAAAAAGACTAAATTAAAATTCAAAGTCAGACCCAAATACATGAGATATATAAAGAAAAAAGTGGTAGGGGCAAACAAATTTTTAGAACGGGGGCATATATAAATATTGAAAAAGCACTCTCACACGATATTGCAAGTCAAAAATTCTCAAACTGATTCTATTTCTTTGATACGTGTCAAGTACACTTCAATCCTTTCCAAGTAGCACTCAACCCACCCAGTTTCACTCCCCCTGAGTAAAACCCCAATATCACAAGAAATTCTATCAGCCACAAACACTTTGTGTGCAGCGCACACCACGTGTTACCCTAGACCTCGTCTAGGCCAGTGAGCGGTTCGCCTGTTACTTAAGGCTCCCCCTCAGATCTACCTCACGTTCTCTCAGATATCTCTCACCAGTGTTTTCCGTACATGTGACTCTCACCAAGGTCACAGACTCTGCTTCTCAGTAGCAATAATCTCGACAGCCTTCAACAATGAGGTCTTCATTCCATATATGCCATCGTACGTTGATTCTCTCAATATCTTCATAATATGCATTTTTCCTTTTTCTTCATTGATGCAAGTGTCTTCTTTCCTTTTGTTGTTTCTTTCCTTTTGTGCTTTCCAGATTCAGCTCCATACTTCCATTTGTTGATTTGAATCTTCTAGATTCTGAATATGCTATTTCCTTACTTTAACAATCTCCCCCTTTTTGACTTTCTGGTTAGACACACTCAAACTCACAGAACACGTAATCGCAATTCATAGCAACCAAGATATGTCTACACATTTGGTTCAACATAACACACATAACCAAGGTCATATCACTAGACAAATTCAGACAGTAAACACACGTAACATTCAGAACACATAATTAAGTGAAATCTACTTCAGTAATTTTGAACTACTGGTTCATACTCAGTTTACTCTTTCTGATCAGACTTAGTCGCAGCGGAATGTTGATCTTAGCATCTGAAACTGATCGAACCTTAATTTCCATTTTCTCCCCCTGTGTGTTTAAGCAGAAGCTCAAAAAACATTTAAGCTCAATATCCAGACAAGTTTGAAAACCACGCATTTAAACGGAAAATTTTAAGTTTTTCGAAAACACTAGTGATTTTTCAGTTCCCGCCTCGTCACAATTTAACATGTTCATATTACTAAAGCGTCTAAATAATCACAGGTCATTTTAAAAAAAAATCACACATCAACAAAAGAGAATCAAACGATTAGGTTAGAGATACCTGTCATGAAGATAATCAAGTCTCTGAAATGATCCTTTCGGTCAGTTGCACTTCACACATTCTCAGGCACTTCTCAAACCATACATAGTGTTGAACAATTTTTCATACTCTTTAGTATTCAGGTTCTGAACTTCTAGGACGTTGTATCAACAAGGACTTCCCACCATTTAGATCCAGACTATCTCTTTTAGAGATATACTCTTATAGATACAATTTTTCTGTCATCTACAGCGGAGTATTCAGAACTTTTTTTTTTTGTTCTTCAGCCCTTAGACCATCGTATAGAATCTCGTCTCACAACTTAGACCCGAGTAGCTCATTTGTTTACTCATGTCATGAACTTTGTATAGATATCCCTTTCTGTTCTGTTCTTTTTCATTTTTTTCCCTTTTTTTTGTTTTCCATGACAGCGGAGTACCAGAACCTGTATTGAAACTACTATATCAGTGAGATATACCTGAGAAATAGTGAAGCCCTTCTTACCTTCATTTTCATCTCATTGACTTTCACATCTCCTGACCTATACTCTTTCCTGCACATTTTTCTTCTAAAATGTTGAGAAAAAAAATTAGAGCTCCCCCACACTAAGGGATTTTTGTAAACAAACAAACCTGTTCATATTTAGAGGTTTAGTGAATATGTCAACCAATTGTTTCTCAGTAGGAACATACTTAATCATCATGGTTTTCTTCTCAACTTGTTCCCGTAGCAAATGATGTTGCACACAATTCTTTGAGATATTAATGCCACTCGTATCATCACAACGTGCAGTAAAAGAGGGTAAGTTGATACCGTAATCGAATAGCATCTGACGCATCCACAGAAGTTGAGTGCAACAGCTTCCCAAGACCATGTATTCTGCTTCGGCAGAAGTACTTCGTCGATCATCAGCATGATCTCCCCAGTCCGCATTACAGAATCCCACCAACTCGCAGCTAGAGTCCTTTGTGTAGTGCAATCCAAACTCTAGAGTTTCATTCACATACTTACTGATCCGCTTGACCGTCTGTTGCGTAGATTCTGTCTTTGAGTTGATCCAAGTGTAGCAGTTGTTGGAATTCCTCTTCCCTGTTAGGACACGCTTGTTTTTCACATCAGATACGAAGCAAGCATTCTTCGTAAATTTCACTCTCATCCCATTGTCACATAGCTGACTAATACTGATGAGGTTGGCTTTCAGTCCTTGAACTACCTTGACGTCAGTCAGTTTGGGTAGCCCAGCATGATCCAGTGTTCCTTTACCCAAAATCTTTCCTTGTTTCCCATCACCAAATGTAACACTCCCTCCACTTGGTGTTTCAATGAACCCTTTCAACAGCGCTTGATTACCAGTCATATGCTTGGAACATCCACTGTCAAAGTACCAGATTCCAGTATCGTTGTTCTGCTCAGTAGTGTATGCCACATTGCACGCTAAATCTGATTTACGAACCCACCTGAGATTCCAAGGAGGATAATCATAGGATGGTGGTGGATACCTGGAAATTCCTCTGTTTCTCCTCAAATAGAAACAGTTACGTCTGAGATGTCCTTCTTTGCCACAGTGATAACAACTCCTATTTTCTCGACCTCTCCAATCAGTCTTTCTCACAAACGGTCGTGGGTGAGTACTACTTCGTTTGGTTGCAGGTGGCTCTTGACTCAAATTTCCTCCAGACACAAATTTTAGATCAGAATGTGATTTACCTTGATATCCAAGGCCAGAGTTTCGACCTAATCCCAGTAAGTGATCCAGCTTTCCAGTTCCATTTCCGAGAAGGTGCAGATTCTTCTTAGTGCCTTCCAACTGACATTTCATAAGTGAAGCTTCTTCTTCTTTTTGAGCTAGCTTCTGTTGAGTGTCTGTCAGTTGCATCTGAACCCGACTGAGATCCTTCTCCAACTGTTGTTTGTCACTGATCAGCTGTTTATTCATTTTCACCAATTTGTTCATCTCTTCAAACAATTCCTCCTCAGTGACTTCTTCATCATCACTATTCATCACTTCATCATTTTCTTCTTCGATAACCCCGAGGAATGCCACAAAGTTAGATAGATTATCCTCATCACTCTCACTTTCTTCATTTGAAGAGTCATCCTCATGAGTGATCAAGGATTTTCTTTTCTGTTTTATGCATTCCCTCTTTGTGTGACCAAAACCCCTGCATTCAAAGCATTGAGTTTTCTTGAGATTTTTCAGCACGCTTTCCATCCTTGCAATGCTCGGACATTCAGCCTTCCAGTGTCCTGCACCCCTACATTCCAAGCATTTTCCTGAATCTCTGTCACTTTGCTGTCCAAATTTATTCTTTCCCTTGAAGAACTTGTTGAACTTCTTAATGACAGAAGCCATCTCATCATGCAACTCTTCTTCAGACTGTTTCTTGTTCTTCACCGGTTTTCTACTCTCTAACACGGTCTCTCTTGTTTCAGGAACATGAAGAGCGATACCTTGTCTCTTTTTCTGTTGGACAGATGACCCTCCATTCATCAATTGTAGCCTCAATTCATGGGCAGCGAAAGTACCTACAGCTTCCTTGAATGTGACGGTCTCTAGATTGTTTACTCCTTCAAACACCAAGATCTGAGAATGATATTTTGCTGGTAGACTGTTCAAGAGCTTCTTCACAAGTTTGTCATTGCTGATTCTCCTTCCAAGAACACTCGCCTCATTCAACAAGGCACTCAACTTCCCACAGAACTCTTTAACACTCTCATCATATTCCATTCTCAGACGCTCAAATTGGAGATCTATCATATCCAATCTGTTTCTTTTCACTTTGGATGTTCCTTCATGTATAAGCTTCAAAGTATCCCATGCATCCTTTGCAGTTTCATATCCTTGAATTTGTTCAAACTCTTCATGACACACACTGCTGAAAATGATAGATAGCGCTTTCTGGTTCAAGGCAGAATCCCGCTTTTCTTGATTTGTCCATACTCTTTGGTTTCACTTTGGCAATTCCATCGATAATATCAGTCGGTCGAGTCCATCCGTCCGTAACTGCACTCCAAGTATCTTCATCAAGCCCACGAATATAAGAACTCATCTTGACTTTCCAATGCCCATAGTTGGTTGAGTCGAGCATAGTAGTGTTCCCGAGCGATTGAAACTTCTTGAAACCTTCCATCGTGTGAATCTGAATCTTACACCGATATGAGAGGAAATATTCCTACGATCAGTGACCAGCTCTGATACCAATTGAAAAAGCATTCTCACACGATATTGCAAGTCAAAAATTCCCAAACTGATTCTATTTCTTTGATACGTGTCAAGTACACTTCAATCCTTTCCAAGTAGCACTCAACCCACCCAGTTTCACTCCCCCTGAGTAAAACCCCAATATCACAAGAAATTCTATCAGCCACAAACACTTTGTGTGCAGCGCACATCACGTGTTACCCTAGACCTCGTCTAGGCCAGTGAGCGGTTCGCCTGTTACTTAAGGCTCCCCCTCAGATCTACCTCACGTTCTCTCAGATATCTCTCACCAGTGTTTCCCGTACATGTGACTCTCACCAAGGTCACAGACTCTGCTTCTCAGTAGCAATAATCTCGACAGCCTTCAACAATGAGGTCTTCAGTCCATATATGCCATCGTACGTTGATTCTCTCAATATCTTCATAATATGCATTTTTCCTTTTTCTTCATTGATGCAAGTGTCTTCTTTCCTTTTGTTGTTTCTTTCCTCTCCATACTTCCATTTGTTGATTTGAATCTTCTAGATTCTGAATATGCTATTTCCTTGCTTTAACAAATATTATTCAAATTTTTTTTATAATTTTATGAAGGAATTAAAAAAAATTAGGGAAAATCCCAAAGAAAATATAAATTTTTCAATTTTTACAAAATAAAATCTAAACTTTTTTTTTTATCAAATACAACATCAACTTCATTTTTGTCAAAAATAAACCCGAACTTTATAACCTTTCTCATTTTTAAACCTATTGCTGACGTCGCGTTCCGATATCATGACATGTGGATGATAATATGTCAAATACGATCAAAATAATGACTTGCCACAGAAGAAATCGAAATGCCATATCAGCAATAGGTTTAAAAATGAGAAAGATTATAAAGTTCGGGTTTATTTTTTACCGAAAAATAAAATTGATGTTTTATTTGATAAAAAATAAAGTTTAGATTTTTATTTTGTAAAAATTGAGAAGTTCATTTTTTCATATTTTTTTAAAAAATTAAGTAATTGGATGAGGGCATAGGACCCACCTATTAACAAATAGATCCGCCCATGACGGTAATAATAATTGTCTCAAACAAGACTTGTAAATATAATACCAAAATCTAAGTACATTAGTTTCCGTAAAAACACGGACTCCGATCGTGTTTGTGATTGGCAATCTCAATTTATATAATTGATTAAAGGGCATATGTAATATCACTTGGACATGTTTTATTATTCATACATGATATCCAAGATTGGATGAATCAATCGGTAATGGATGGGGCGAAACTTTTTTCCAACCCAGCCTTCACTTGAAAAGAGCATTCACCTAGGTTTCTCTTATTTATAGACATGAAAAATATTAAAAAGATATTTTTTTTTCTTTTTTGTAAGGCCAAAAGTAACCAGTTTTAGTTTTGTATTCTCTTTGGTACTCTAAAACGCCAAAAAAAATATTCTAAAAATAGATTTGTTTAATAGTAACGGGAAATGGATTAAAAAACAGTTGGAATTTGCAGGTGAAAGAAAAAAATAGGGGTTATGCGCACAGATAGGAGTTGAACACAGAGTGAAGGCAGACTCCATTTTTTAATGCAACAACTATGGGAATGACAAACGTAAATTTTGCAACTTATCAACGGATGTTTCGTTTAAGTAAGATAAAGTATTGCATATCCTTTTGGCACACTTTGAAATCAACAGGGTCTTTGGTCAACTTCTTAGCAAACCGATCAAACAGTTCATCAGTCACAGCATCTCCGAAATGTTCTTGGTATGATTCCATGGAAGCCGGCTCGATGCATGGAAGCAATGAAGTCGTTGTTGAATGGCATATCCTCCATAGGATGCTTCACTTCTTCTATAATCTCAATGCTGAAACACCATTTTGCTCTATCACTTCTTTCAATTCGCTAAATTGTGGGAAGTATAACGGCAAGTTGAAGAACTCGACCTTTTCCTCGCTTGTTATTCCCTGCACTGATGCAAACGAAGAGAGAAACATATTATTGTGAACTATGGGGCTGTTTCTCTCTGAGTGTTCTATATTTTTGGATTGAACAATTTGAAATATTAGCATATGGTATTGAGAATTATATCGAATGTAAGGTCGTTTATATATTATTTTGTTTCAATTTTATTACTTATAATATTAGGAATTATATTTCTTATGATGGGATCGAGTTCAAACTTGAAGAGTCGATGTCTAAATATTGTCTGTTGATTATTAGGATTTAAAACGTAACAAGATAAAAAAAAAGGGCTTTCAAATAACATTTTGTTTCAGTATATAATTTAAATCAGGTGGAATTTCTTTACCTCTAGAAATATATATATGTGTGTGTGTGTGGTTGGAGACTAACCTAATGTCAAAACTGAGCCAAGAAAACAGATTCGAGCTTTCTTACCAATTTGGCCATATCGATCAGACAATCCCCGATCATGTCATATACAACACCTTTCCATGTCCGAATCATCTGTACACCATCGGGCAGACAACCTCCTAACATAATCATCAATCCTTCAGAGACAAATTCTTGAGCTCTAGCTTCAATGAAAGCTTCCATGTCCTTCTTGAACTGTTTTTTGTAAGCATCGGTCACTTCTTCGACTAAATTAGAACAATGTATGCTATTTATGTTCCAAGCTTGTGAGTTTCGGTTACAAACATCTTCAGGAGTTCTTGAGAGCCAATGGAGTGTATTAGAAGTGTGTCCAATGTGAAGGCTGTTTCTCGGGAATAACCAGCGGTAGAAGGAACCGGGAACGCCACAGGCAAAGATTCCATGGTCGAGGTAATACCGAGTTAGGGTTTTGAAGAGAGTATTGAAGTCATTGTCGAGTTGATCATTGAAGAAAACCTGGAATTCAAAGTGTCCATGGTTGTTTCCTTTGGTTTCTTCTTGTTTGTTTTTGAGTTTTACTGTCTCAACAATGTTTTGGACAACATCTAATGTGTTGGATCCAACAGAACGACCGAAATCCGCTATTCTGTATAGATTTAGATTTGATTTAGAGGTTTCGATATCAAGCTTTGCTAAAATGGCTTCTTTGATCTTTCCTCTTGCACTCTCAATTGCAGCTCTCTCTGGAGGATACGAGACATAAAATTTAGATATATGAATACATCTAAATATATACAACCAAACACAATATTATAAATATACATGATCTAATATATATTTCATAGAAACTTACTTGGTACGAGGAATTACGAAGATAACTATGTGGACCGTCACCACCGATCATGGGACAAAATTGAATTAATGTCCGGCTTTACGTTCGCCATTCCCTTCTTGTGACACAATCTTTCCCTCCTAGTTTTATTTCCAATTTATAGCTAAAACCATGAGATAACCGGATATACCGGTTTCTATGCGTACAGAGGAAATAATTTGAAGTCATTAAACGGACAAAAAAATAATAATTTAAGATGCGACATGATTTGACCCCTAATGCGTCTCTCTCTTTCCATTTTCCACGTTTCATACTTTCATTCGTTTACGTAGTTGATCATTATTGCCGACAAATTGTTGCCAAATGATGGTGGGCATATATGGGGTATATAAAAAAATATAAGGGTTTTAATTTGATTGGTCCATTGGAAAATTGTCCATATTAAAAAAACATTGAATACTCATAAATATTCGAATTGCCAAAAAAAAAAAAAAAACTAGACGAGCATAACAAAACACAGATTCAACCAACACACCAAACACGTAATAATCGTAATATTTGATACTTCTCAACGGACCTTTCGTTTAAGTAAAATAAAGTATTGCATATCCTTTTGGCAATCTTTGAAATCAATAGGCTCTTTGTTCAACTTCTTAGCAAACCGATCAAACAGTTCATCAATCACACCGCTCCCAAAATGTCCTTCGATGATTCCATGGATGCCGGCTCGAAACATGGAAACGATGAAGTCGTCGCTAAATGACATATCCTCCATAGGATGCTTTACTTCTTCCATAATCTCAATGCTAAAACACCCATTTTGCTCTATCACTTCCATCAATTCCCTAAATTGTGGGAAGTATAATGGCAAGTTGAAGGACTCGACCTTTCCCTCGTTTATTATTCCCTGCACCGATGCAAAAGAAGAGAGAATCATATTATTATGAAGTGTGCACTCAATGCCCATATAATGTTTCGCCTAACGATATTGAAAATTAAAATATAAAAGACAATATAACTTTAGCATATTTGTTTAAGTATTTAGCATAATCAAATCCCATGGGGTTCTTTAACTATACACACACACACATATATATATATAGTATTTGGCAATATAAAAGTTCCAAGCTTTCTTACCGATTTCGCCATATCCATCAAACAATCTCCGATCATATCAAAGACAACACCTTTCCATGTCCGAATCATCTTTACACCATCGGGCAAACACAATCCCAAAACAATCATCAATCCTCCAGGGACAAGTTCTTGAGCTCTAGCTTCAACGAAAGCTCCCATATCCTTCTTGAATTGTTTCTTGTAAGCTCGAGCCACTTCTACGATGAAATTAGTGCAGTGTATGCTATTTCTGTTCCAAGCTTGTGAGTTTCGGTTACAAACATCTTCAGGACATCTTGACAGCCAAAGGAGTGTATTAGAAGTGTGTCCGATGTGAATACTGTTTCTTGGGAACAGTTGGTAGTGAAAGGAACAGGGAACACCACAAGCAAAAACTTCACTGTCGAGGTAATACCAAGGTAGGGTTTTGAAGAGAATATTGAAATCGTTCTCTGGTTTATCATTGAAGAAAACATGGAACTCGAGGTGTTCGTTGTTATTTCCTTTGGTTTCTTCTTGTTGGTGTTTGAGTTTTAAGGTTTCTATAATGTTTTGGACAATATCTAATGTGTTGGATCCAATTGAACAACCGAAATCCGCTATTCTATATATGGAAAGCTCAGAGTTTGGGGTTTCAAGGTCGAGTTTTGCTAAAATGGCTTCTCTTGTCTTTACCCTTACACTCTCTATTGCAGCTTTCTGCAGGACAAGAAGTAGAGAATCGGTACATAAATACATAAATCAAACATCTAATCACACTCTTAACTGCACAACCAAATCCAAAATTACAAGTATAGTTAAGGCAATGCTTCGTAAAAACTCACTTGGTACGAAGAATTACGAAGATAACTATGTGGACCGTCGCCACCGATCATGGGATAAGATTGAATTAACGTCGGCTTTCTGTTCGCCATTTCTTCCCAACCGGACTCCAAAATTTCTCGTGACATAATTTTTTCTTTCGAGTTTCAATTCAATTTATAGCCGAAAACATTGGATACGGAGGATATCGGTTGGTTTAGTGCGTAAAAGGACAACTTTTGTGAATTCAATTAATGGACGAAAAGAAAAAAATATTATTGATAAGCGTCATGATTTTATCCTATTGCAGCCTTTTATTTTCTACTTTTTGCGTTAAAGGAAAATTTTTGTGAATTCATTTAATGGATATAAAAAGGTAATTGATAAGCTACATGATTTTACAATATTGCAGCCTTTTGTTTTCCTTTTTTTTTTTTTTGCGTTCATTTTTTGTAGCAGATAATTGTTGTGGACAAATAACGGTGGACAACTTGGGCAGACATCGGGATGCAAAATGGACTTTGGGTATTTGAATTGGATCGACCCGAATATTTATAGTATAGTTTGTTATTCATTTTTTTTAATACAAAAATCGTGGATTTTCAAATAGTCGCAAATATCTGAATTACAAAAAAAAAATAGGGGCTGAGAAACACAAATTAGGAGCGATACCTACCACTTGCTGTTTAGGCAAGATGAAAATGAAAATATATTAATTGTATATATTTTTTAATTCAAAAATTCAGAGGTCATTTGACTCAACTATATCTCTCAAAAGATCGAAAAAGTCTGGTTGAATACTCTTCCCCTTATACTTGAATCTAAAATAAGAGCACCACTAGATCAACCAAATTTGAGTAATTCTATACCTTATTTAAACGATTCCACTTTTAGATTTGGATTGTCGATGAATCAAAATAGATTTCGAGTCGGTTTAATTTGGTTTGTATGGACTTAATTGTCTGCCTCAGTTTTTCGATGGAATCTGTCTAACAATAACTGAACTTCTCCTCTAGAATTACCACAACTGCAAGGCTTGTTTATAGGAATGAATGATGAAAGAAACTCTAATCCCAATTTATTTTACATATTTGTTAGGCAACTAGTGTTTTTCTAGAATTATATTTCTTCCTCGTACATATTACAACACTAAACCCAAGTTTGAGTGGTTCAACCGGTAATATAAAAATTAATATCTTTTATGAATGGGAAACATACAACAAAAAAAAAACAGAAACATTTATATAGCTCCATACGAGTAATCCTTGATACATAGGTACAAACCTGGATAGTTCAATCGGTGAAATGGGAAGCGTCTGTCCCGCTTCGAATTTGAACCTCAAGTTTAGGGAGGGGTGTATATTACTAATCACATAGTTAAACTCCAGTCTCCAAATTAGTCTGGGTTTTGGTGCGGAAGTTACTAAAATAATCCTTAGTGCATGGGTTCTTTCTAGTGGAGGAATGGTCTTTCAATGAAAAGAAAGAAAAAGAAATGGGTATTGCATTATTGGGAGACAAGATCAAATATCGTAAGGGTATGGAGCATTAGCAACTTGCTGGATATAATTAATGATGCATCCGCTTGCCAAGTTAATGTAATTGTTAAGCTCAGAATTCTCTATAAACATAGAGAGGGGGTTTTGTACGATCCATCCGAAATTTTTGTATGAGCTTCTACACTGTTTTATCTTGATTTTGTTTGCATGAGATTTTGATCTTTAACCGTCTGGACCGGAGAAACGAAAAAAAAAGAAGAAGAAGGTTTTATCGAAATTGTCCGCCGTTGATGATTCGACCGCATATGTTCGAGTGATTTGGAAATTCGGATGGTCGTCATCTCTTTTTTGTTTGAGCTGATATTCCGTATGTTTATTCTTAACTCTTTGAGATTGTTTTTCTACAGAGAGATAGGAATTTGGTTGCATGAACCATAAGTGACGTAGTAACTTGCCGTAATAGTAAGTTATAGTTAACGTTTGAGGGATTATTGAGATTTGAATACCGGGTTAACATTCAGAAATCTCTTTGTTGTATCCCATATTTATTGGAGACTATATTGTAGATGTTTGTAACCCAGAAATTATTTATTATAGTGAACTTTTTCGATGGACCTCACTTAAAGAAAGAAGGATATATATAGGGATTAAATCTATTGTGATGAATTAGTATTTCTACTTAAAGTCGTCATCAACCACTTTCCGTCTTGACGGTACAATTATACTAGATATTATCATACTAGCATGTTCACACAAGTAAAGTGTTCTTATTTATCGATTCGTGATTTACGGTTCACGGTAATGGTAAAACCCCAACAATCCACTCTTTTATGAGGAGCAATTGCAAAAATACCCTTAAATGTCGATTTCACTTACAGCCCATACCCTCGCACAGTAACAAAAAAACGGCAACATCAGATATACCCTTATAAATGTAGAATCCCTATAATACCCTTCATTTATTTATATAATATTATAATATACTAAAATAAATAAAATATAGATCTACTTTTTACCTTATTTTCTCTCTCCTCTTTATCGTTCTCTCCCGCCATACATCGCGTTCTCTCTCTTCGAGTTTTTCTTCTTCTCTCTCTTGAATGTCTCTTCTCCAGCGCAATTTTCTGGCAAATTTACTGCGAGAAACAAGTGAAATCTCTAAGAAACTCATCCAATAAACGTAGATCCCGTTAATAGATAAGTTTTTTTTAAAGCCGATATATATTTTAGGTATTTAGGGTTTTTTAATTTTCGTATTTGTATAATATAGATGAGTCAAATGTAATATATATATATATATCAGTTAAACTGGTCAAATTAACTCGTCACATTGGTGAAAGTGACCATTTTGTCCAACTGGTCAAACTCGTCAAACTCGTCAAACTCGTCAAACTCGTGAAACACGTCAAACACGTCAAACCAGTTTCACCATTTTGTGTTTATTTTGTACAGGCATAATGGCTGTAAGTGATGAAAGAATGACAATTGTTTATTACAAGTCTGGTGGCAAGTGGATAATGAATGCAAGTGGAGAATATGAATGGGAAGGAAAAGTTAAAGATGCCAAGGGTGTGATATTCCTTTTTCCTCCGACAGATTTGACATACAGACATCTGGTTGAGGAGTTACATTCTGATATGAATGTGGACAAAGGAAAAGCAAATATTCAGCTAAGTTATCTACC